TCGTGAAATGTTGTCAGGGTATGCTTGCGCCTAGGAAAATAAATCCCTGACTGTTGCTGGAGATTCACAAATATTCTGTCGGGAAGAGGTGTTGGAGAAGTAACTCTGCGAGGACCAGACTTTGGGGGAATAGATACTTTGTTGGTCGACCTGATGATCTAGAGAGATAAACTTAACTGGGGATGAAATTCCGTTGTTGGAGCTGATGAGATCTGTTGGAGATTGAGCTTCTGTATTCAGAGAAATAAACTCTATTCGGGAGAAAACTTTATGACCTGCTTGCGATTATGAAATTCGATCGGGGAATATAGATGTCGATTCTCTGAAGGAACTTTGCTAGGGAATGTAACTCCTATTTGGGGGAGCCGATGTCAAAGCTTTAGTTGCCTCTACTCTGTGGGGAGTGTAGATGTCACAGTGTCGCATGCTAAGGATACGACAATGACTTTACATCAGGACTTTTATGCCCCTGTACCTGCTGGAGAATGTGCCTGCGGAGGTCTTGTGGATTGAGTGTCATCTCAACTTATGAGGGTCTTGGTAACTGCCGATCGAAATGATAAGTCTTCTACTGATAGGCAAGTGACAAGATAACGGGACATAGTCGTACGCTTTAATCCCTAACTTTTGCCTGGACTATCTTTTCAGATTTTCAGTCCACCGGGATACCCTTTTTTGCCCAAGCTGCCTTTTCAGGTTTTTGACTTGCCGAGTGTACAGATCTTTTTTGTTTTTATCCCTAATTTTTGCCCGAACCCTTTTGGTTCGCCGGGATGCCCTTATTTTTGCCTAGTCAAGTCAACCTAGCGGGTCTTTGTTCATGTGCAGTATTTTTTGACTATGTCCATGCTCTCAGGGTGTAGGGAGTTGTCACTGTCGGTAGTGTTGTGTTGCCACACTACCAGAAGATGTTTGTTTGATCGTACATGATTCTTTGCTGGAATTCATGCCTAATTCCCCCAAGTGATTCAGATGGAGATCTTCCCCTGGCTATTTGGCATCTTTGAGAGATTCCTTGAATCTTGACTTGACTGCCCCAGATGATGGACAATGATCATGTCGTGCCCCTTGGTTGGAAGTGTTTTTCCACTTGAGGTGATCCTTTTTATTGAGAAGGTTTTTGTTCACTAGATATTCGTCATGCGAATTTCTCTGTGTTGTTGAACAAATAGTCATATGCAAATAATAATATTTTAAGAACGCAAAGCTTACGTCTGTCTTGAAGTTTTGAAAATGCATTTTTTTTAGAAAAAATATAATTTTGCAAAGATGTGATATCAACTCAAGATTTGTAACAGACCTTCAGGAGTCAGGATACCTTTTGTAACAGTATGCTTTCGAACTAACCCATGCTTCAGCTAGGACTTTTAAGGGTTATAACGTGGCCTGGTTCACGGTTTAAGAAACAAAGGATAAAGGCTCAAAATTTATTTGTACCCACCCGCTCTTCGTGATGTTCTTCAGTCCTATGCTCAGTTAATTGCGCGTTTAGAATCCCATTTGAGTTCTGGAATATTGTCCTTGATGTTTTGGTGATGGTTCGGATACTGAAAGTTTACTTGAAAAAGGAATTCATTTTGTAATCTTTTTTTTGCCGAGGATTTGTAGTAACCTCTTTTTTTGGTTTTACTATCCCTGTCTTTTGCCTGAACTATTTCTTTTGTGATTACAGTCAGCGGGATGCCCTAGTTTTTTCCTTAAGTCTCCTTCATAGGTTTTGACTTAATGGGCTTTTATTTCGAGAGATAATGATTACCTGTCTTCATGATTATAGGGAACCATCATCGTCTTTTGATTCAGAGGGACGTCTTTGAGGACATTCATTATGTATGAAGTAGAATATTGCGACTGAATGCACATCTGAGTTAACTCAGAAAACTACCCTGCCCCAGGTTATGATTAGGGTTTTAATTAGTGTGAAAATAAAAACTCCTACTTCTTTGGCTCAAAGGGGTTGACTAGGATTATCTTCCTTATAACTCCACTGTTTGGGATTTGAAACAACGCCTGTACATCGTCAGCGGGGTCTATTCAAAAGCTTAATGTAGAGGTTGTGGTATCATTTTCGTCATCCTCCCTCTAAGGCTTAGAGTTTTTTAATCGAGAGTTGAGTATCACAAAAAGGAAAGAAATTTAAATATAGTGAATACGAATGAATTGATTCAAAACAGACATATGCAATGCATTGGTAAAGTAACAGAGTTTGACATGAATAGATGTTCAAACAATCAAAAGAAAATTGAAAATTGAAAATTCTAATGAACAAAAGCCTCTTCGTATGATCTTGTCACTTCAGAGAACGTGCCTTGGAGGATTGACAGAAATATTCCAGTTGACCATCTTGTGTGAATTCCAATGCTCCTTCATCAATCAGGTCTTGAATTTTGTATTTCAACCTCCAACAGTCGTCAGTATCATGCCCCGGACTGTTGGAGTGATATGCACACCTTGCATCAGGATTGTAGTTTGGCGAAGAAGTCTTGGGATTTGGATGAGGTCCTATCAATGTAACCAGATTCATTCTCAACATGTGTTGTAAAGCTTGAGACAACGGCATGTTGAGTTTGGTAAACTGCCTTTTGGGCATATCTGACTTACTTTGATTAACCCATTATTTTTTGCGAGGTTCTTATTGGACTTGTGAGGTAGTAGAAATTTGGAATGGTCCACTCTTCACCAAACCAAACTCTTGTCTTCTTGGAGGTTAATTAATGACTTGGTCCCCGGCCTCGACTGTTTGCTTCACACTGTTGTATCCGTCTTGATGAAGTTGGTTGATAATGGTTCTCAGCTCTTCTTGTCCCCGGGCTAGGCCTTGGATTAGAGCCATCTTCCCCAGCACCTGGGTTCTCTTTGCATCAACCTCAGCTTGCAGTTGTTCCAGTCGTTCGTCCTTGTTGTCTTCAGGACTTTTCTTGACCAAGTTCCTGGGGAGGAGTGTTTTCAACTCTTCCTGCCCCTTGGATAGGTTTAAGAACATTTCACTGAACTAAGGTTCTTGAATTTGAAGGTCTTTGTTGTCTTGTTGGAGAGCCATTGCTGAAATAAACAGCGAGAACATGAGAGAATTGTACTGGAAGACCTGTTATGCAATGATATGTGAAACAACCGGCTGAAAATCATCAAACAATGAAGTCGCCATCGAACGTCTTTTATCCCACATGTTGGGAAAGGTAAACATCGAGAAAACCTGAGAAGGGAGAAGTCACGGTCTTGCGACCGAGAGATCGGGTAAGGGAGTCTGTTACGCGAGGGGAAGGTATTAGCACCCCACACGCTCGTAGTACTCTACGGTATCCACTCTTGTTGTCTATCTTATGGGTGTGTTTAATTTATGCTTATTGTCTACTATACTACTGCTAAAGGAGAATGCATGCAAAAGAAATGAGAAAAAAATGTAGGGAAAATAAAGTTGTGCTCTCTTGGGCCCTACCCCAATGCCTACGTATCCCTTTTGAGGAATCAGAGCTACCACAGTTTGGCTCATATGTTCTTGTTTGTTTGTGTTTTTTATGGACTAAGTTAATTCCGCCTTCTGCCGCAGCTCGACCTTTGGAGACTTATGTGTTGGCACAAAAGTAAATTAATCATGTCCTTACTTGAAAAGGGTTTTAGAGAAAAGGTGCTCGAGCGCAAAAAATGAATTGAATTGGTTTGTGTTTTTGTTACCTTGAAAAAGGGTTTAAGTGTTGTTAGCATGTTTTTGATTTGCTAAGTAAAGAAGTTTTTGTTTTAATGCAAGGAATCAAAAAGGGGAAGAAAAGAGTCTATGGGAGACTAGCCTATTTCTAACCTAGTGTTATCATAAAATGGTAGCCCTATGTCGAGGATGAAAGGAGAAGTTTCTACCTACTGTTAGCATGCATGATTTACATCCTAAGGTCTAACTTGCGTTCGAACGGAGCAAGCGCATCCTAAGGGAACATGGTATGTACATGGATGAAGCAAGCAAGCCAGTAAACTCAAGAGAGCACACCTAGAGAGATCCTACCTAGGTTAGAATGCTAAAGAAAGTCTAACAAAACTATCCTATAGGGAACATGCACTGAGAGCGAAGTCGTGATCTCAATTTCTAAATTGAGTGACTCATCGATCGGCAAGAAATAAAAGAAAGCGATAAAATCCTATAGGGAGCATGCACTGAGAGCGAAGTCGTGATCTCAATTTCTAAATTGAGTGAATCATCGATCAACAAGAAAGTAAACAAACACAAGCACAACACATATAGCAAATGGAGTGCGGAATGCCTGCTACAAGTCTTTAAACGGCGACTTCGAGCGCACGCTCTTTATTTCCTACTACACATGATATCTAGAAAGCGATAGCGAAATGCAATAAAGTGCGAAGGAGTACAAGGGTAGTAGCGGAGGCTACCAAAGCAAGCAACTTGTCAGGAGTAGACGAAAGTACTGAAAAAGCAGGGAGTGCGCGTTGAACAAGCTTCATTAGGAAACATACAAAGTCAGAAAGAATATCCAATTAAGATAAAGGAAAACACGCATTGCGAATGCAATGCATAATCAGAAGTTCCTTGCACAATGAACAAACGCGTCAAAAAAATAACGTGGAAAAGCGGCATGATATGAATAAAAATTAAAAGAAAAAGTTTTTTTATTAGTTTTTTTAATGTAAGGAAAATTCTAGAAAATTTAAAGAATTAATTCCTAAAAATTCCTATTTTATTCTATCACATTTTTTATTGTTTTTATTACATTTTTTTTATATATAAAAAATGAAAGAAGAAATTAAAGCTAAAAAAGATATAAAAGAAAAATAGAGAAGTCAGGGGGTGTTAAGCTAATTCAAAGGTATGCTGCAGTATAGAAGCAATGGATCAAAGCCCAACAAGGAGGTTCCACGTGATTTTTGTTCTTGGCTAATTCAAAAAATCGCTAACGGGCTCGGGGAGAATATTAGTTCGATCTACCCATACTTATAGCCCAATTCATCGTTTTTCAATAAATGTAATCAATTTTAATATTGTTAAACAATTAACAATCATGAAAATTGAAAAGAAAAATGAAAGTATAGTAAAAGATAAAACGGTGGCATTTGGCAATAGGGTTCATATTTTTGTGGCTTTCGGCCTTCTAAGGCAACTCGCTTCTTCTCAAATATTCTTTGCTGACGGCGGCGAAACCTCCTCTATGATCAACCTCGCCTTCGTCTCATCATCTCACCTCCATTCCAAGTTTGTCATCTCTGATGCACCAACAAACATCTTCAATTCGTGATTCTCTGTTATCCCTAACCTTCCGTTCGATTCTACATCATCACTTCGAAATTATGTCTATCACCCTCTATTTTCAAATTATCAGTTTGTTTGCTCAAGTCTCTGTCTGAACTTCACAGAAAGAATAAAAAATGAGAGCATAATTAAGAGATTTAACGCTTACCGATTGGAGTTCGTCCGACGCAACTTCGATGCTCACGATGATAAACAGAAAATACCAGAGACGTTATTTCCAGGTGCGATTATTTTTTGTATTTTCTTCTTCTATTATGTTCTTGGCTGAATCTGCCTTTGCAAACTCAGTGTGCCTTTTGTATCGACTTTGTTGTTATTGTTTCTTATCTGCATTTTCTGTTGTTGTATTGAAACTGATATGAAATCCTTGTTGCGTGTGAATGCAGAAGATGCATAGGAGTTGTGGTTGAATATTGGTGAGAAGATGAAGGTGAAGATGAAATTTGAAGTGAATCCAGTGTGAATGGTGTTGAGGCGAGTAGAAGAATGGATGAAGATTTTTGTAGATTGAAGGAGAGAGAACTTCTTTTTTGTGATTCTCCGGCAATCTGATAATGAAGAACTAGTAATAATGCTTGAACATTGAATAGAAACTCAAAGAGAATTCAGAGAGAGATATGGAGATTCTGGTGATGGATGAGTGAAAAATTGAAGAGAGAAGTTTGAAGATTTCAGAGAGATATGGATATTCTGGTGATGGATGAGTGAAAAATTGAAGAGAGAAGTTTGAAGATTGCAGAGAGAGATATGGATATTCTCGTGATTTTTGTGATTCTTCCTAGAAAAATGAAGAATCCCCTTGAAAGAGGTATGAATCGTTTTTTATCAATCTCTTGGATCTAGGAAAAGTTAGTTACAAGAGAATGAATCTTGGCCTTTGGATAATGATTTTCTGTTAGAGGATCTAAGGGTTAAGGTTGAGCAGTTAGAGAGGTTTTGAGATCTGTTATGAATTAGAAAGCCAGTTGTTTGTTTGGATTCTGTTTGAGTGAATGGGATATCCTCATATTTTCCGTTAGAAATTTTTTAGATGCTGCTTTTTTTCAAGTCAGAATTCTGTTAGGAGGTTGGTTACAAGTTGTTTTTTGTTAACAGTTAGGAGCTGAGTTGGAGGTTGAGGGAATAAAGTAAAAAACAGTTAGGATTTGTTATGAAAATTAGTTAGTTTAGTTATGACAATTGGATGAGGTTAGGGATCTATGAAGTTGGTTAAGAAACATTTGGAAATATTGTTCCAGATTTTTTCTTTTTTTTGGATGTCTACCAGAAGTTTTCCTTCCTCTCCTTTTTATTATCCTCTACTTCTGTTATGTTTCTGTTATCTCCTATGCAGGTTGCTAAGAAGCTTTGTTAAGAAGTTAGTTAGGAGGTTACAGCAGGGCCCGGTTTTGATTATGAAGAGCAGGTTAGAAGCCGACTGAAATTGTGATGGGTTAGCTTGAGGTTAGTTAAAATTCTGTTATATACTGAATGGTGCAGTAGGAGAGAATTAGAAATCTGGTTTTCTGTTTTTGAGAGTTGACTAGGATTGTTGGAATATGTTATAGGGTTCTGGAATTTGGAAAAATGGTTGGAGGGGTTGGAGGTTATTATTGCATTTTGCTAGTTTTAGTTAATAAACCTCCTTGGACAGTTGTTGTTACAGTTGGTAAAAAAGTTTGTTAGGCAGTTTTGGAAATTAGTTTTCGGTGATTAGGAGGTTAGAAAAGTTTTTTTCCTTTTCTGTTATAGGTCAGTTAGGATAGTTGGTTTCTCTTTCTTCTAGTTTACTATTTCAAACTCATGTTTTTCCCTCCTTTATGCCGAATCAAATTTTTTCTTCTGCTATTGTTTTACTTTGATCTAATGATGCCAACACTTATGCGGGTCTATTTTTTGAGATTCATAAACTTTATCCATATGCTGTAACTTTGAATGCAGTATGGTTTTGATGATAGATGAAGCATGAAGTATAGAGAAGGGTTAAGGCAAAAGGTCTTGCTGTAACATGAGGAAATTTGGGATTATGAAGACCAAATCAGAGCTGAAGTAAAATGGGTTGTAGGAGTTCTTTAATCAAAGATCAAATTTTGGTCAATGGTGAACTTGTTTAAGGACCTATGGTTTTCTCTCTTTTTTCCTTGTAATGCGCTTGAATTTTTCACTTGTAATTGCATATTGGAACTCTCAAAATGGATTGGTTAAAGAGCATTAGATGAAACATTGTTTCCCTCTTTTAATTCAATTTCCAACTTTCATTCTTTCCTTCATATTCTTGCAAACAATTTTGAATAGAAACCATGACATGAAAGTCGAATATTTCGTGAAGACAATAATCAAAAGCCTTCCTTGCCTCAATATTCTTGCATCCATTCGAATGAAACCATAAAACTTAACGCATCTTACACCATAAAGAATATCATATGGATCACACCAGACCACTTCCTTAGAATAACTTAACCGATCATTCTATTGGGAAATAAACCATAACCCATAAGGACTTCCATGTTTGATGTAAAGTTTTCAGAATGAGGCTTGTAAACTGCTTCGTATTGCATAGTGAGATTTTTCGAACTAAACCCCAATTTGTTTGCTCACTGAAATAACTTTAAAAATGGTTTTTTTATCTTTTGATGAAAATGATTATCTTGATAAAAGAGGAAATTCCCAATGACCATAAACGCAAACTCTAATCCCTCAAACCCTGACCGATGAAGAACCATGTTGATCCAAGCTTGCATGAGGATGATAGCCTAAAAGCACCAAGAAACCCCTAATTCCTCAACATCTTTGATTCAAAAGATTGACCCTCGATGAAATTGGATGGAGAAGACCTGGTATCTTGATGTGGAGAAGAAGAGAATAGCCCTGTAACTTTGATAATAAATAAGTCCATGAAAAACCCTAGCTTCACACAAATGATTGATGGAGAGATCACTTGAAACAAGCATGTGCAAAGATGAGAGCCTTGAAGCCATATGACAACCCTATTTCTTTGAAATCCCTGACCCCATGCCAAAAGTTTTTTTTATTAACGAATGGATGATGTGTTAGATGACCTAATGGAGTTATGTACATGAGAAAAGCGTAACAATGCATAAGACAGATAAAAGTAAAAGGGTAGGACAAATTTGGGGTATTACAATATGTGTAATATATGTATGCAATGTTTTCAAGGATCTCGCGGGGTAAACAAGAAACTGTTAGAATTTGATTGCAACTTGATTGAAGAAACTTCATGTTGTTGAGAGTCCTTCTTCAAGAGTCAAGCTCACCATATCGAGTGGGTCATAGCCACTGACTCAAGTTATCGTGTTTTGATCTCTAGACGACATTTGTCAGAGGAAAATAAATCCCCTTGCCCCTTGCTAGACGTCTGATTTACCATAACCTGCATCACAAACCCTTGAGATCCTTGAAATGGTAAAGGAAATGTTAAGGCATGATGTTATGATGTGTATGCTATGCGTTTAAGCAAAAGTGCGAGGTGATGTAAGCAAGTAAACCCGACAAGAAATCCAATTTATTGGATAAGGATTGTAAACAAAACCTGCAAGGAACTCATGTTGTCAGATAATAAAATTGTGCAAGTAGTTTAAGTTTAAAGCACACAAGTCACACAAACAACCTTAGGTTTAGGCTTGCATGGGTTTTAAGGTATTACCCTCTTGAAGTTTTAGTTGGTTCAAACCTATCCTAAAAAAGTAACCGGATTCTAGAGATTCTTAATATCACTGACCATCCTTTATCGAGCATTGTTTCAACTCTCAATCTTTTCTTGCAGCCAAAATATCCCGAAAGTATGATCTCAATGAGTGTAGTATCGAGTATCAACCAGTTCTCAGCTCTACACCGAGGTCGGCTATCTCACTACTTTCTAATGGCCAAGTTGTTCAACTAAGGTTCTAAGGTCCGTTGGTTCTTCACGACACCACGCGGCAGCCCCGTATTCTCCTCGTTTCCCCACGAAGGATACCGGTACCGACCAAAGTGCCACACCAACACAACCATTGCTTAAACCATATCGTTCTATGTCGTACAGTCTCCATGATCTATTGTTGTTTACCTAATGAGTGCCCCCAGATCCGGGTGTAGGATCTATAGTAACCCCCAAACAAACCCACAAAAAATAAAGCAATCAAGAAAATCAAGAGAATCAATTTAATGACTTAGATCCTAAGGTATACCCCACTTATTATATTCCCCAACATAGTCGTCAGTTCTGTGACACGGTGGCAGAACTGACTGTTTAATACTAGTTTCCATTTTGCATTTTGTGTTCGCAAAATATCGCGGTAAGCAAGAGTCGCCACCGACTTTTATGTCATCCAAACATGGAAAAGGAAAAAGAACAGAAAAAACCTTTTTTCGAGATGTTTCTGAATACGGGGGGGTAGATTATAGAAAGGGAAGGTGTTAGCACATTTTCTATCTGTAGTTATATACGGGATCTTAGGTACTTTCTCATATTCTTAAAATTGCTTGTGTATGTGCTTACTTTGAAATTTTTTTACTTCGTGATAACCCGTGTATCAGTCCTCAAGGGTGTGACGAAGTTGTTTTATAAATTGTTTTTGAAAAGTGTTAGTGTGAAAAGTTTTAATTGAGCAAGTACCTACTAGCATCTACCTACTCGAAAGAAGATCGTTTATGTTCTATTTCCTTTAGACAGCGCTATCCCGCTATTAAGGAGTAGGTAGCACCATCGTTGGAGTTTGTAAGGGACATTCGAAAGGGACAAGTACAATCACTAAAGCATTAGTTAGAAAACTTTAGTAATAACCCTAGGGTCTTAAGATCTTTCTGAGGCAACGTTTCCGAGGCAACATTTCTGTGGCAACATTCGAATGGGACAATTTGATCTCTTTAGACTGGAGGGCAACCACTAAAATCTCCTATGCTTAATGATTGTTTACCGAAGGCAACCGAAGTGAGGTAAACCCTAGTAGTGAACATGTGCGAGTGATTTGTTTCAGTTATTTTAATCTTTGCACATTAGGGTTTTCTAACTGTTTTAATTTTTCATGCATTCTTTCCATACAATCTGTTGTACCCCAAAATTTTCCCTCCCATATTCTTCAAGGTTTATCAAGGATCATCTTCAAATGGTTCAAGAATTCTCAAGGGTTGCACAGTCCAAATGCCTCATAAGCCAGTCAAAATTAGGGTTTTGGTTCCTTCAAAGAATTTGAGGTTTTCAGTGGTCCAATCAAGTCCCATAGGCCTCTATACATTGTCAAGCATCTACATGTCAAGTTTCAAGATTCACAATGCCAGTTTGCACAATCAAAAGCTCCATTTGCTTCACAATCAACTACAAGGGCAAAATGGTCATTTTACAGTTAAAAGTCAGAATTTTTGGTCAACATCTTATTTTGAGCTAACAATCATCATTTGATCAAGTCTTGATCATGATTCCACAAGCATGGCTCTAAAATCATCAAGATGCCAAAAGTTACTACTTTTGGACAACAGAAATGTCAACTGTATATTGACCAAGGCATAATCTTTTCATGGTTCATCAGAAAAATCCCATCCAATGCTCATTTTAAAGGGGTTGACATTTCCTACAACTCATCTTCACATTCCAAGTCCAAGAAATGCTCTCATAAAAAGTTATCAATTTCTACATTATAGGTCAATTTCAAAAGTCAACAAAAAGGCATTTTAAGTAAAAGACCATAACTTGAGATTGGTAAATCCAAATGACATGGGACCAAAGGCATTGGTTAGAGGACTTCAAGACCTTTCCAAAATGTCCAAGAACATGTTTATATGATCAAAATTGAGCAAGATATGCATTGGAGAAGTTGGGAAATTTTTGTGAATTTGCAAAAGTCAACTTTGCTCAAAATACCTTATTTTTGCTAATGGGCCTCAAATTCCTTCTTGAAACATTGTCCAAGGCCTATGCACGACCCATTGGGATTATTTGAATTTATTTTCTTATTTTTTATTAATTATTTGGATTTTTAATCAATTTTAATTCATTTAATTAATTTAAATTGTAGGAAATTCAAAGATATGATTTCTCAATCTTTTTGTGAAGCAAAAGTGGTCAACATATGCTGGAGATTTCGTGTGCCAATCAAGGATGTCAAAAACTCCAAATTTAGCAACTTTTTTCAATCAAAAAGATTGAAAAATATTTGATTTTCAATCAAATATACAAACCATAATTCCATGGATTTTTGGTCAAAGATTTAACCTAGTTCCATTCCATTATATATACATAACCTAAACCTAATTCCACACACGTGAAAAGCTGCTGCAAAAAGCCATAGCCATATTGAATTATTTCAAGAAACTTGAAAACTGTTTTCTCACTTCAAGGCCAATTCAATACTTTTAATTGCTTCTAACACATTGCAGGGGTCCCCAGGAACATATTGCAATCAAAACCAAGTGCTAAGGCCTAAGAAATCGCTCCACACAAACTCACGGTTTTCTTATCTTTTCCATAATCGAAACTCACATTTTATGCATCATTAACATGTTCTAATCATTGTTTTGCATTGCTTGAACCTTTACAAAGCTAATGGTATTGGTTAATTGTATTATAGTGTACAGGATAGTGAATCACCATTGAAGAATTTTAGGGTTCTTGAGGTCTCAAATTGGGGCTTTACAGCCCAGGAAAAATTATGCTTCATGAAACCTATGGTTGAATTCGTCAAGGCCAGACG